TACGCAATAGCATAGAATATACCTCAAAGACTAAAGTGGTCTTGTAAGAAGGATACTTGGTGAATCATTGGTTACTACACTCTCCAAATTGATGGAGAATTCAATTTGGCAAAGGTATTGTGGGAGAGATTTTTAAGCAATATATTGGGATAGTTTCTTAAAACAATATGCTTTGGAGCAGACCAAAAACCAGAATATTTTTGACCTAATTATGTATAACGAGAAAGGTAAGAGTAACCATAACATGGCAGAATTTGATAATCAGTTTGAGAGTGAGGAATGGGGACCATAACGGGTGTTACAAACTTAAATAAATGTCACAACAAGGATATTAAGACAGTGAGCTAAAAATAAAATTGACCTGGGTAAATAGTTTACTAGTTACAATGGTATGGTGGGTAGAATACAATGAGCTGAATGGTCTCCAGCATCAATATGATAAGGAATGGCAGACTGTTGAAAGGTGAGGAAGAAATAAATATTTTGTTTGTTTACGACAACTTTTTTAAAATAAGTTATTCGGCATATATTTGGTGGTTGAGCCAGCTTTTACTCCCCATTACTAGTTGCCCTTGAGGTGGTGATGGTGAGCTGCCTTCTTGAACCACTGTAGTTCATTTGATGTTGGTACATCCACAGTGCTATTAGGGAGGAAGGAACCTCTAGGATTCTGACCCAGTGGCACTGAAGGAAAACTGATATTTCCAAATCTGTATGATGCATTATGTGGAACCAAACTTCTAAATGGTAGTTTTCCCATGTATCTGCTGCCCTTGTGGGTTTTGAACATGTTCGTTTGAGGAGCCATGGTGAATTTCTGCAATACACACTGCTGCCTGACCCCACCCCCCCATGCATTTTCAGGTTGTGGTGTCAATCAACCATGTTGTTGTGTCCCAGATGGTGTCAAGCTTTTTAAGTATAGTTGGAGCCAGGCAAGTGGGGAGTATTTGATCACACTTCTGACTTGTCTCTTCTAAGCGATAGGCAGGTATTGGGAACTCAGGAAGTGAGTTACTAGCTTTAAGGTTCCTAGCCTCTAACCCACTCTTGTTGCCACAGTAATCAGCATCAAGTTGAGATTCTGGTCAATGGTATTGTGTTGATAGTGGGTATTCAGCTCTAGCAATACAACTGAATGTCAAGAGACAATGATTAGATTTTCTGTTGTTGAAGATGACGTGACACAAATGATACCTGCCATTTGTCAGCCCAAGCCTGGAAATCATTTGAACATTGAACTGCTTCAGTATCTGAGGAGTTCCAAACGGTGCTGAACAATGTGCAATCATCATCGAACATCCACACTTCTGACCTTATGATGGAGGTAAGGTTATTGGTGAGGTATCTGAGGATAATTGAGCCTGGGACATGGTCCTGAGGATATCCTGGAGCCAAGGTGACTGAAAACCACAACCATCTCCCTTTTACTCTAATCAGCAGAGTTTTCCCATGAACCAATTGAGTCCAGTTTTGCTTGGACAACTTAATGCCACATTTGATCAGGTAAGGCCATGATTTCAAAGGCAGTCACTGCCACTTCACCTCTGGAGTTCTGTCCATTTATCTATGTTTTAACCAAGAGGTTAAGAGATGAGTGCCTGAAGAGAACTCAAACTGACCATTCAAATTTGCTGAAGACTGGCATCCATGATGCTGGTGACTTCTGTAGGAGGCTGAAATGGATCATCCACTTAGCACTTCTAGCTGAAGATTACTGCAAATGTTTCAGCCTTAATGCCCATCATTGAGGATGGGGATATATTTGAAGCCTCTTCTTTTGGTGAACTGTTTAACTGTTCACCACCATTTGACTAGATGTGGCAGGACTGCAGAGCTTACATATGGTCTACTGACTATGGAATCACTTAGACTTGTTAATTGCTTGCTGTTTATATTTTCTGCCATGTGATCAGTCCTGTGTTGTAGCTTCACCACGTTAACACCTCACTTTTAGGCTGGCCTCGTGCTTCCTGCACTCTTCAGTAAACTAGGGCTGATCCCCTGGATTGATGGTAATGGTGCAGCAGGGGATATGTCAAGCATAAGTCTTCTGTTTCATTACATCTTTGCCTTTGATCTCTCCTGACCTCAGCTGATTCCCATACCTTCCCTTTTATTCTATTTCCTTCTCCCTCTTTTCAGCAGCATAATATCACATCTCTAATTGCAGTATTGCTGAAAAGATACATACTTGGTCAAAATTTTCTGTCTAGTAATCATCAGAACAACTTGTAAGAAATACAAAGTAAAGATAAAACAACGATCATACAGTATGAGAGAAGATTGCTGATTGGTTGGCAAGTAGAATCTGATCTGTCAAGTCAGTGTCATGGAGAATGCATCAGTTAGACTATTACTGACAGTTAACTGCCAAATTTTTGTTCTAACAGTTTAAATTAGGCAGGTTGACTCTGATTAATTAAGACATTATCCTGAGAACTAAATCAGTGAATGGCTGTCACATATCGAGTTGAGTAGAAGCAAGTGCATTGTGTCTACATGTTCTTTGTCTGCAAAGAACAAGGCCCTGTGTATTAATATATGTAGCTTCCAATTCATGCAAGTGCACCACGCTAATCCAAACTGACGATCCAAAGTTGGTTGTCAGTGTAGTTCTTTGCATACTCAGGGCTATTAGCTCAAATTGTCAAATCGCACATTATATCTAATGTTGCACACTGTTCTGTCATTTTTGCAAGTCAGGTTATTTGGGTACAGCCAGTATCTTGTTTGTTATGAACAGGTGAAGGGTTTGTTGTTTGATATGACCACCAGTCTTTGGAATTGTGGCCTCTAAACCTGGCATCACATAAGACACTGAATTTCATATACTAGCTGGCCAAATTGAAGAAAAGGAGCTCACTTGACAGTTCCATTTTTTGGGTGAATTTGAGACCAGAATGGAGTCCATTAAGATGTGTGAGGAAATTCTTACATGCAGCTGCAGATTCAGATATAGAAAATGTATTATATCAGAAACATGCAATGATTAGGAGTTTAGGTATAATTCTATCAAAGATACATTTCTCACAGAAACCGACACAGAAGTTTGCAAAAGCTGGGGATCAAATGACAACACCATCTATTTCAGCATACGTGATGTTGCTAGAACTGAACTCAACTGTACAAGTTTCTGATTGATAGGTTCAATGAACCCCTTAGTATTTTTCTTTTCCCTTGGGTTTAATTTCTGCTGTTCCTCCCAAATTAGTCCGAGAAACTCCTGCCATTGCTGTTCCACAGTCTTCCCTGCTAGACTCTGCTTCCAATCAACCTCTGGCCAGCTCCACACTCATGTCTTTGTAGTTATCTTTACTCTATAGTAATACTGTTACATCAGATTCAAGCTTCTCTGTCTCAAACCGCAGGATGAATTCTATTCTAGGGCACCCTTCACCTTCAACTCCCTAATCAAGTCTGCCTCATTACATATCACCAAATCCAGAAATGTCTGTTCCCTAGTCGGATCTACAACAATCTGCTCCAAAAACAACCGTCTTGAATGCATTCCACAAATTCCTTTCATGTGATCTGCGACCGACCTGTTTTTCCCAATCCACCTGCATATTGACGTCCTCAATGATTACTGCAAGTGCTTTTCTTGCATGCCTTTTCTATCTCCTGATTTACTTTCTGCCCCACATCCTGACTACTGTTAGGAGGCCTGTTAATAATTCCCATCAGACTCTTTTATCCTTTGCAGTTCCTCAACTTTACCAATATAGATTCTACACCTTCTGATCCTATATCGCTTCTTGTTATTGTTTTAATTTACTTTCTTACTGACAAAGCAACCCTGCCTTCTCTGCCTATCCATTCAACGGGACATGTGTCCTTGGATATTTAGTTCCCAGTCCTGATCCCCTGGCAGCCAAATTTCTGTGATGCTGACACCCCAGTTTCAACCTGTGCCACAAGCTCATTTACCTTGTTTGGTATACTACAAGTACAACACCTGCAGACTACCCCTCCTTCTCAGCTGTGTCTGAACTTAGATTCCTGAACCTTTCCATACTCTCTGCCCTCTTGTTCTGGAAATAACTTCTCCTGAGCCATCCCCTCCTTTAACTGGTTCAAAGTTTAGTGACCTCGATTTACGACATCAGTCCATCTACCTCATTCCAAATGCTTCATGCATTAAGATGCAAAGCCTTTAAGTTCATTCTATTATTGAATTTCTGTATATTTTATGCTTCCTTGGTGCAATATGACATTCACACATTCGGTCCCTTCCTTTTATTTTCTGGTAACAATCAATCCCATCACCAACCAGCAATCCTACCTTCTCCTTTACTTTTGATGTTGTAATTTTCCATGCAACTGAAACCATCCCACCATTATTTAGTTTGAAGTCTTAACTATAATCCTAGTTATGCAATTTGTCAGGACTTTAGTCCCAGGATGATTCAGGTGGAGCCCATCCCACCTAGACAGCTCTCTTCTTCCCCAGGACTGATGTTAATGTCTCATGAATTCGAAACCATTCCTCCCATACCAATCTCAAACCTTGCCAACTCTTTGCCAGTTAGCTCTTGGCTCAGGTAGTAATCGGAGACTATTACTATTTTGATTCTGCTTTTTGATTTAGCCCCTACCCGTTCAACAGAACCTTTCTTCATTCTACCTATATTCCTGGTACCTATGTGGACCACGACAACTGGATCGTTCCCCTCCCACTTCAGGTTCCCTCTACAGCCCAGATGAGATATCTTGAATGCGGGCACTAGACAGGTAACATAGCATTCAAGACTCTTGATCCTGGCCACAGAGAACAGTGTTTATTCCCCAGGCTATACAATCCCGATTATAACCACGTTTCTTTTCTCCCTCTGTTGAATGGGTACCTGTACCATAGTGCGATGGTTAGCTTCCTCTCTGGGTATAGTTCCCTCTTTCTCTGAATAGTTCCCCTGCCCCCGTCCCTGGGTTCCGTTCTGTCCCCCTTTCTGTATGAACAGCTCACTCCGAGTACAGATTTTCTCTCTCTCTGCCCCTACCTCCGTCCATCTTTTACGCCGCTTCTGTCGATTCAAATTTCACGCATTTGACTCCCAACTGATTTACATTTTCGATGTGAATCAGCAGCGCTACCGGGGAGATACATCATCAGCAGATGGCATAGGTAGTGAATGACAGGATACTACAATCGTTATGGGTAGCAGTGAGTTATACCACAGCGTTTGAACGAGAGCCACAAACCTGGAACCAGGCGCAAACACATCCAACCGTTAAAAACGGCGCGGCGGAAATGCCCGGCAACCAGACGCATGCGCGCGGCCGTGGGCAGGAAGCCGTGACGGCTCCCGAGCATGTGCAATGCCGCAGCACGTTCTCCTGTGGACGTTGTGCCCGCAGAACGGATTGAGCATGCGTGTACACGGCTCCGTGGAAAGACAGGCACGCGCAGTTTGGAATTTGTCTTTTTGGCGTTCCTGGAGTGGCCAGCCTCAGTGCACATGCGCTAGCCGGAAGTGAAGCGCGGCGAGTTGCGGCCGTTTGGTCAAGGTGCGTGCGCACAGCGGTCGAAGTTTGAACTGAGTTTCAGCGGATTTGGGTTGAGGGCGATCGCGGGCGGAGCGGTGAGTCCTGCCTTTTGTTGTCCTGACGGAGTTCGTATTCCGGTCGGTGGGCAGCTCTTTTGTGCGACACCTACGGAGGGTTTGTCCAGGTCGATGCCCCGAGGTTGTTTCAAATGCGGCTGACGGGCCCCAGGCAATCACCCGGGAGGATGGCGGGGGAGGGGATAACAGAAGAAGGGAGAGGGTCTTGGAAGGAGATTTGTATGGTTTTCCAGCACAGGATCGTCCCATTTGTCACAGCCGTTCCATGTCAGTGTTTAGGCTCCACTGAAACTTTCATCGTTCCTTATCTAACCCCATCAATATTGACCCTCTATTCTCTTCTTCCCTCATGTGCTTCTCTATATTCGCCTTAACTAAGGGGTGATAGCATCATCACTCCAGGTTTAAAAACGCCTCCTCCTGATTACCTGTGTGTCTGGTCATATATATGGCCTCTGGTCTTGGACTCTCCTCCAACTATAAATGTTTGTTTTTCCGCATTTAACTGATTTAATCCTTTTTATAATTTTACAGATCTCTGTCAGATGAACATTTTTTTGAGTGATCAGTGCAATCTCTATTCAGCTATCACCCTTGTAAATCTTTCTTTCTGTCACCATTAGCTCCTCTTTACCTTTTTGCAACAGCTGCATTAGGATGATGCAGTATTCCAACAGTGAAGGTTAATTTACGCCTTAGTCTGATCTGCAATAAGACACCTACCCAAAAGTTCACTAACAGCAAATACACCCAAACTCTTTACGCCAGGATGATTTTTCTGATTCAAGCATTTTAATTGTAGAGTGTGACTTTGAACCCATCTTTGTTTCCCAATAAACAAACCAAGGTTTTAATACTTCAGTAATTAATCTGTGACCCTATTTCTATTGCGACTCCACCTGATAAAGGAACAGTGCTCCAAAAGCTTGTGACTTTAAATAAAACTATTGAAGTATAAAAACCAAAAGAACTGCGGATGCTGTAAATCAGGAACAAAAACAAAGTTGCTGGAAAAGCTCAGCAGGTCTGGCAGCATCTGTGGAGGAGAAAACAGAGTTAATGTTTTGGGTCCGGTGACCCTTCTTGAGTCCAGCACTGGCACCTCCACCTCCTGTTTGTGTTGATTTTAGCTATTTATCAGCAATGTTGCTGCACTAGTGCTTTGAGCTGTCATGTTTCTCATTCTTGTAACTAGTGAGCTTGTGTAGTGTGTGTGCGCGCGCAAGGAGGTTGTGTTTCAACTACACTTAACTTTGTTCCCATTTAAGCTCCATGTATGTAGGATTCACTGTACAGTTCAAAATGGGAATGAGAGTTGATCAATTTATATGGGGACCGAGGCTCAGTTACAAACATAGAAACAGGAGTTGGCTAGTTAATCTCTCAAACGTATTTAATCATCGTTGACATTATGTCTGAACAAACCTGTCTTTGCCCATGTCCCATAAAACATTTGGGCAACAGAAATCTAATTGAGCCCAGATTTAAAATGAACAATTCGTTGAGCATCAATTGCTATTTGTGGAAGAGAATTATAAACTTCTACCGTTTTGTGTTTTGAACCTTTTCCTAATTTAACTCCTGAAAAGTCTAACTCTTTTTTTCTAAACTAATGTTTCTAACCTTAGATCTGCCAATCAGTGGAAATAATTTCTCTCTAGCTACCCTATGTTTTCCCTTTGCATCAAGGCCATCATCTGTCAATTACATCAACTGTCACCACTAACTGGGGTAGTGCACTGGAAATCATTCAGGGAGTAATCACCCAAGTTAAAGATGTTATAAAGTAAGCAAAAGTTCCAATTTACCTGGCTTCCATACATAGATTAATAGGTAGTACAGACCAGGTTTCTGTACTGAGCGAGAATTACTATTTATTACAAGTATCAGATGAACTCGAGGTAAAGTTATAAACTGTCAGGATATAACCCTGATGATTATAGTTTTAATTATAAACTCTGTATAAACTCCCCCTTATATGCACACACAGACGACCAGTCGGGGAAAATTGGTTATTGAATAGAGGGGGAAAATCTGGAAAGACAGTTCATTAGCCTTTGTTCCCAGGTTCTGCATTGAGATCGTCCTTATGTTGCTTCTGCTGGCCAGCACGTTGCTTCAATTGTCTTCCTTTGGATACTTCCAAAAGTTGGTGGAAAAAGACACAAGGTGGCCAGTTCACTTATGAAGAGTCTCTGACTTAGCAGTTAAAAGTCACAATTTACAACAAAAGTTGCAGGCTAGATGAACTGGTTTTCTTCAGATTTAAGTTTTGGCTGCAGAGAACAGAGATACCTTTCCTGTATTGAAGAAGAACTGAACATTTCTTTCTCCCTGTAACTTGTTCCCAGCTCCAGTGTTCAGTTGCCTAAGAATCAATCACACATTCAGCTCACTCAGTATGTGTAAAAGGCAAAGATAGGCATGTTATTTTGGGTTTTGGTTGTTTCTTTTTATATTATGTTGAATTAATCAACGTCGTAAATAATGTCACTCTTTGTGTTTGTTGCAAGTGTTAGCATGGTTTCCAAACAAGCACTTGTCACATATCTCGGTTGCTGATTGTTTATACATTAGTGAACATGTGGATAAATTACTTCTGTCCTTAAAGCTCTAGTTTGGTACATTATCCAGACTGACCTATGCTATATAATGTTGATCCTATGAGTTTAAGTATCCTTAACCCTGTTTTGTGTATATGAGTATTCGATAAACACTTTTGATTATTGTTTAACTTGGAGGGGATTATATTTTAAATGTTCTAAACAAAGTCCCATAAAATTAACTGGAGATCAGATATTTGATTGGAGTACATTGGGTGCAAGTTTGGCAAATATTGTGAAATCTCTTTCATGGCAAGAACAAGAACACAGAATGCCAGTGAGAGGAGAGGAGAGATGAGATGAGAAAGTTAGGTAGAGATTGAGTATAGTTACTCTAGCCACTTCTGCAAAAATGTCTGATTATGTGTAAATGGCAGGTTGAGAAGCCTTAGAAATACCTAATCTCAGAATTTCATGAATACAGTGCATGTAGTTGATTTGAAGGTTAGTGATGTGCCTTGGGAAATAATGGACCAAGTGGTATTTCGAAAATGTTGCAAGTTAAAATTATTGAACTGTAGTGTCTACTTGCTGAAAATCCTTTGGGGAGGTATAGTTTCAAGAAAACATGATGCTAATTTTAATGAACACAGCAGGCCAAGCAGCATCATAGGAGCAGAGAGGCTGACGTTTTGGGCCTAGACCCTTCATCAGAAAAGGGGGAGGGGAAGGGGGTTTTGAAATAAATAGGGAGAGAGTGGGAGGCGGATAGAAGAGGGATAGAGGAGAGGATAGGTGGAGAGGAAACAAACAGGTCGAAGAGGCGGGGATGGGGCCAGGAAAGGTGAGTGTAGGTAGGGAGTTAGGAAGGGGATAGGTCAGTCCAGGGAGGACGGACAGGTCAAGGCGGCTTGAGGTGGGAGGAGGGGATAGGTGCCGCTTGGGAACCCTGCAGCCCAATGGTATCAATGTGGATTTCACAAGTTTCAAAATCTCCCCTCCCCCCACCGCATCCCAAAACCAGTCCAGCTCGTCCCTGCCTCCCTAACCTGTTCTTCCTCCTCCTACCGACCTCATCCCTCACACCCCGTCCACGCAATAAAAACCAAAAAAGAATCCCCCTCGTCCTCACGTACCACCCCACCAACCTCCGGATCCAACACATCATCCTCCGACACTTCCGCCATCTGCAATCCGACCCCACCACCAAAGACATCTTTCCCTCCCCACCTTTATCTGCTTTCCGGAGGGACAACTCTCTCCGCGACTCCCTTGTCCGCTCCACACTCCCCTCCAGCTCCACCACACCCGGCACTTTTCCCTGCAACCGCAGGAAGTGCTACACCTGCCCCCATACCTCCTCCCTCACCCCCATCCCAGGCCCCAAGAAGACTTTCCACATCAAGCAGATGTTCACCTGCACATCTGCCAATGTGGTATACTGCATCCGCTGTACCCGGTGTGGCTTCCTCTACATCGGGGAAACCAAGCGGAGACTCGGGGACCGCTTTGCAGAACACCTACGCTCGGTTCGCAACAAACAACTGCACCTCCCAGTCGCGAACCATTTCAACTCCCCCTCCCATTCCTCAGACGACATGTCCATCCTGGGCCTCCTGCAGTGCCACAACGATGCCACCCGAAGGTTGCAGGAACAGCAACTCATATTCCGCTTGGGAACCCTGCAGCCCAATGGTATCAATGTGGATTTCACAAGTTTCAAAATCTCCCCTCCCCCTACCGCATCCCAAAACCAGTCCAGCTCGTCCCTGCCTCCCTAACCTGTTCTTCCTCCCACCTATCCCCTCCTCCCACCTCAAGCCGCACCTCCATCTCCTACCGACCAACCTCATCCCGCCCCCTTGACCTGTCCGTCCTCCCTGGACTGACCTATCCCCTTCCTAACTCCCTACCTACACTCACCTTTACTGGCTCCATCCCCGCCTCTTCGACCTGTTTGTTTCCTCTCCACCTATCCTCTCCTCTATCCCTCTTCTATCCGCCTCCCACTCTCTCCCTATTTATTTCAAAACCCCCTTCCCCTCCCCCTTTTCTGATGAAGGGTCTAGGCCCGAAACGTCAGCCTCTCTGCTCCTATGATGCTGCTTGGCCTGCTGTGTTCATCCAGCCCTGCACCTTGTTGTC